CATCATGTCGAGGATCTCTTGTGTCATCCACTTTTGCTTTTTGTTTTTATCCTTTTGCAAATATTATTACATGCTGACGGAAATTCATATCAATCTAGTAAAAAGCTCATTGATGTAGACCTATATTTCACGTGTTTTCATTTAAAGTTGTAAATTGTACATATGCTATTACAGGATAATCAATTCATATTAGAACTCTAGGGATAATTAAAACACCTCCCATAACCGGATATTTTTGTATAACCGTGTGGACCGTCCGTTTATTGGAGCTTTGACTGTATTTCAAAGGCTGCTTTCAATTAACATTGCCGCTCTCTGCAAATTCAAACGCTAAGATAACTTTATTTCGTGTTGGCGATAGATCGATTTGCTGCACAGTTAAGGATAAGAAGTCCACTTGGAATTTGGCAAATTACCGTCCACTCTAGCTACACTATCTTCGGAAGACACTCACATCTGTATTTGCACTAGATTACTAATATTTGTTTATGCGCTCTCGTGTAAAGCCCATCAAATTAATTTTGTCCCTTTCCAATTCGACTATTTATATTGCTGACTGCACCTCAGTAAATTTCCTCGATACGAAACTATAGCGAAGTTGCCAAACCAACTAAATTCATTATCGCTGGGTATAAACAATTCCTAATGGTGTCGCTGAGGTCAAAGTCGTAGATTACCTGTAACCTTAGCACATAAATTTGAAGCAAATTAACGCTCCGCATGGATTCCAGAACATGAAATCTCGATCTATATGCAAGGCTTCAGTGGCGTTTTCCGGTATGCAGAAGGCGTCGCGTCTCTATAGCCTGAGCTTTCAATCGGTCTCGCCGGAGCGGAATTTATTACATCGCAGGTATCCCAGCCGGAACTTCAGCGCCTGCAACTGATATTGCCATAATAAAAACCTGACATTCCCAATTTAATAAGTACTACTGTCTACTAGTCTTGAGCTGCACGTAATTCCAAATGTGATATGAAGCTCTGATAATTCTTTATAAGTTTTCGCAAAACACTCAGCGAACGAGTTTTAAAACTAATATTTTATTCAATTATTCCATTATTTTATGAATTCATTCACTATACTCGAGGTTTCCAATACATCCAGTTGCTTGTTTTGGCCGTCGGTTTATTTCATTATACATAAATGTTGAAACGTATTTATTTGCCAAAGCTACTCACGGGCGTTTTTTGGTACCTGACTATTGAACATTTCAAAGATTTGCAAAAAACGCTTTTGGAAAACAGGTGAAACTAGAAGTTTACGAAAATTAATACGTTCAGATCGTGTTATAGAGGTCAGGCCTATTACTTTCAATATTTTAGAATCCCAATTTTTTTAAATCAAACTCACGGGAAATTTTTAAACATGCAACCTTATATCAAGTAATGACCACGTCGATAAGACGTGATTCCAGTACCTAGTCTCGACAGTACCTAGTCTCGACTGTACGAGTACGCCTGGGTAACACAGTGTTGATTGGCGCTATTGAGTTGTTACCGCTCACTGAGTTACCGAGTTATAACTCATCGGTTAATGAGTTATAATTCATTTTTTTAAACTTTTCGAGACCCGAGACTGGAATTTTCACATTTTCACTATGGACTAAAAAAAACGTCGTCAACGTTTTTTCGGAGTAACGTTTTACTACTTTGTTCAAACAACTAAAAGAAGTCATGTAGATTTTCCCTGCAAGAGAACTGAGTCCAAAGGCAGTCGATGAGTTTTCTTGTAAAATCGATATCTCAATTTTTTTGCATGAAAGAGTCAGTTTGCCAGTATTTTACAGTAAAACGTTAGAAAAAACGAAGTTTTTTCTGTTTAGAAAGAGTGTTGTTTAGAAATATTGACCTAAAAGTCAAGAAACCGCAGTTTCCAACAGTTTTCCAAATAAGTGATTATAAACTTTCGCTTTTTCAGTTCGGGGAAATATTTTTGGAAAAAACCCAGAAATAATCATCACGATTTTGTACATAACTCGAAGCTGCAAAAAGGTTTCCAAAAAATTTTGCAATGCGGTTAAGGAGACGAGTGTTCCAATAAAAAGTATCTTATAATTTTTCTCAGAAAATACTTGAAGATTGTCAGTATTTTAAGTAAAACAAAAAAATAATGCGATTTTATAGTAGAAAGAATTGCTTAATAGAAACCTTGATAAAACTGGAACGACCTGAAAATGAAGCAACTGAAAGAACTTTAAAATTCTTCAAAGCGATGATTCTTTTACTCTGGTCGTTATTTCAAGATATTCCTAATTACTATCGGTACAAAACTGTAAAAAAATTAGTCCAGGTCAATTATATTAAAATAATTGCATATTGAACAATGTAGAAAATTTAGAATAATTAAAGACAACCATTACGTGAAAACTATTTTCCAATTTTATCAATATTTGATAGTACAACAATTATCATTCGAACTGGTGTGGAATTAAAATTAAAATCTTGACGCTTTCAGTGATAGGTAGTCTATCCAGTAAGTAGTAATCCAAGCAAAATTTGGTTACCAATTCTACCCCAGTGTTACTATCTTAAGTCTTAAAAATGGGAAACTGTGGTACACATAATAATCAGTAACTGAAAAACTCACAACATTCCTTCGTTCAATGTACTTACATTATTATTGTCAATTAGAAGTTGCCCTATAAATATTCAAACACAATGTGGCTGATTTGATAAAATTCCGGAAAAAATGCCTGAAAATTACTGGAATCACCATCCAGCTTGATCCGAGTTGACATTTGCACATTTCTGATTCAGTTAAATATTCAAACTTTAAACTTGTGCTGTATTAGCAGTTAATTTTCAGTTAGCTGACATCTACTGACGATGGAGACAGGTAATGCTTATCCAAATTATACATGGGAAAGTAGATAAATAGCAAAAACAGTGTTTATACAAGAGTATACTGCCGCGAATTGTAAAGTGTACATGTCAGCATTCATAAAATGAATTTGCTTAAATGTTTGCTTTATATATTGCTATTATTGAGTGAGCAGGAATGCAATGCTTTTAAAAATGTGTCAGTCGTAAAAACCGGCTTTTTAATGAATTTTCTGAATCATTACATCCACGCAACTTTCAACTTTTACGGATGCTTGACTAGAAGTAAGGATAAAAATTACATCCATCCATTTTGCTTAGAAATATTATTTAGGACAACGTTATGATCTTGGAAAGAACACATTTGAAATTGACCCACGAAGGAGCGTGAGCTTTACCAATTCTGTGAAAATTCTGAAACATATGAAGCGAACCTGGCTAGTTTCCGATGGCACGGACTGCAACATTTTTGATTATTTAGAAGAGGTGAGTAAATAAGTTAATTATAAATAATTTGAACCTAATGAAGACAACTTTTTAGCAATACGCAATAAAAAAATCGTTTTTGTCAACACCAAGTTTAGAAAACATCACATAAATCTTTTGCTAACAGAATTTCCTCCTACATGCATAGTGATATCGGTACGCTCGGTAGTATCGGTAATATCGATACTCGGTAGAAATGGTCATAAATTCTGTCCCCAACACTTTTTTAACTAATTATCGTAGCAAACTGTATATTGTAAGATTAGATTATCTCCCTAAATAAAGTTGCTGGATTACAAGTAACTTTATTTTCACTATTTTATTGAATTAGAACGATTGCAGCTGGAACTCACATTAAAACATTTGTCGCTCGTTAACTACGTTCATTTATTAACAATGGAAAAGCTAATCATTTAAACCAAACATTGCAGAAAGCAAATACATTCTTGAAGACATTTTTTGTTCGTCGAGTTGATCTATTGTATATTTATTCGTTTACTTTCCGCTATGCGTTACGCCCAGTCGACCTTCTTTAGGTAGTTGCAAGATGGTTAATTCTCTTGGGAGTTCTCTCTGGGCAGTGGTAAAGAAAAAGAAGCTTTTTTAGCTACCTAGCTTTCGGCAATTTATGTCGCCTTCCTCAGGGTGCCAATTGTTTGAACATAAGAAGGCTGGGAACCTTCCAGAATACTCCATCATTTTTTACAGCCTGATGAAATATTATCTTTCAGTCACATTGTTTGGTCGTAATTTATGTATCATAGATTAAAAAAAAACATTTATTCAACGGTCAACATATTTTATGCAGAAATAACGGGACACACTACACTAAATACAAATGAATGATGAGCTGAAGGCCCTGTGTATCGAATTCGTCGAACATTCGATCACGATTATCCACATTCACAAAATCATGCTGATTGAAATGAATAATGTCATAACTCGTTTTGTGAGAAGAAAATTAAATATAATTGATTAAACTTACTACTACATGGTCCCCCCTTGACTTGAAAGCTGCAGCCGCTCTTGCGTTAAGGGGATATTAACAAAAATTTTTTTATATGAACAATACCACCTGTATAACGTACAAACATATTTGAAAATACATAGGAACTATTAAATTACAGATTAACGAAAACCTAATGTTCAGATCTCCGTATCGTCATTTAATATTATTATTCTATAAGGAATATGAGTTTTTCCTGGAGGCACTGCAGAACTATGAAATCCTACCTATGAGTGAAGTACTACTTGCTTTATTTGGAGATGAACAGATATCTTTGTTCTTTATTTATAAAATCAGAAACGAAAGTGATCCAGGTAATTATGATGCTACACAACACGTTGTTGATGCTAATATTCTAATTCTTCAGATGACTCGAATATTCAAAACATAAATATTTTATTGTGCAATCGAATTAAACAGAAAATGCCTGTATGTCCATTTTTTAGTAATTTTCGTTGCAAATTCAAACAAATTTAAGGTCTCAAGACAGCAATGATCTAAACGAATGTAATGTTTACCAATTATGATTTTGTAGGAATTTTAAATATGATGATGGCGCTGTTGTCTCGCCGAAACGTTATGAAATAACGATATACAAATTTTTGTTTCACACTTTGACTGGAGCCCAGGAAGGAAAATAATATAATAATTGTTAGATATGCAGCATTTAATTTTGCAGCCATCTCGTACTTCCCTTGTTCCTCGGAGTCTTTGAATAAATTCAGGGAAGAGAAAAACTGTCTTATTTGTCTGTCTAAGTGAGGTCCGTCATTACCGTTTTGAGGCCCACTATTATTGGATTAAACCGTAATTTTCGCTTTTGTGGGGCTTACTGAAATATACATGAATATAGCCCGCAAAAATCTAGTTCGCAAATCAGTTTTGATCGATTGTTGCAGATTTGCAAATATTTGAGGACGTCCAGCTTCGTCGTCTCAAGCTTTTGTCAACCTTTATTTTCTTTACCTGTATTTTTCGTATGTTGTTAACCGACAGCCTGCATGTTCAACCATCAAAAAGTTTTATGTTAAAGGAAGCCTTTTGTCGAAAAACGAGCACCTTATTAATTCTAGTATTTGTAAACCTGAAAACGATTTACCATTGTTATAGTACTGATTTCTTTGCGCTCGAGTCTCAACATATCCTGAAATTCTACGTGTTCAAATCACCAATTCTTCAGCAGAATACTCATAAACAAACTGTTTATATAGAAAACTCCCCAGCATTGTGCAAATGTCATACATTTTCTTATTCAAACATTTTCCTATTCTCGTTGTCGGAAGACGAACTGATCAACATTACTAGGTATTTTCTTGAATCACCATCTTTCTGCTCTATATTCTATATATTTGGAAAATTCCAGCCTACGCTAAATAGAATGGGACAAATTTTGATTAACACCACATTAGCAGCAGTCGCAAGGATATGAAATCGTTCTTTGAAGAATGTCAATCTTAGCACACAAAAATAACAAAGCTCGAAAAACACTTTACTTGTACTTTACTAAAGTTTACTTGTAAAAATGATTTAATATTTCCTTCAATTATTTATCTGTTCATCAACCTCTAGTGATAGAGAATTATGGAGTATGGACTGAGGAATACGGCCTTAAGTTATTAATGGAGCCACAACTTCCAATTAGTAGCAGAAGAAGAAACTTTAGAAAGCACCCAATAAAATATGGAACAGTAATTTTTAAAGACCGAAGTGTTCTAAATACTAATTTCGACGACATTCTGTAAGTCAAACAGCCAAAACAATTATGAAGGTTTAATAAAATTGATATCGGCAAACATTTTGTAATGGATATTATATACATATGACATTATAAAGTAATCTTCCAATTTTTATTGTTGACTAATTTAGTATATGTATAGTTTGGCAACTTAATTAGGAAAAGAAATATTCTAGTGGTGTTGACTTATTAAATTAGAAGATTCACGGCAAAATAATTGTAAGAGTTTGCACAGATCTTTCGGATTTACTTCAAACTGAATGCCTTTTAGGGAAACACCAGAATTCTATTTTCAACAGGAAATGCCAATTTTCTATAGTCTATTCCAAGCCCTCAACGCCACAATAGAGATTAACATCTACAATTACCACGGCCACGGTGGCATTAACAAATCAACTGGAAAGCTTATCGTTGATGGATTGGTCGGTGATTTATACAGGAAAAAGATCGATATAAGCTGTAAGTAGAGATATAAGCTATATTGTTATGACCAACTGAAAACATTAATAATTATGTTTCGTGATTCGACAGTCTAATTGTTGATTGGCTGATGAACTTAGAGCGTTGGAAAGGAGTGAATTGTTCCTCCTTTAAATTGGGTGATAAAAATTGCACTAACAATATATTGATTGGTAATTTTTAGCTGGTTTGTATGTATCGGGGCCACGACTGGATTTATTGAAACCTTTATCTCCCGTTGACTTTTGGGGCTTAAAATTTTTCTTGAAGAAACCTTCTCTTAGCTCCGTGAAGAATATTTATATTTTGACGCTTTCAAGATCAGTTTGGAAAGCATCTTTTGCAATGGTAGTATTATTTGTTGCTGCTATTTACCTAGCTTTAAAACTCGAGTCTAATACATCTACGAGCAAAGAGGTATGTATTAATTTTTTTTGTTATTTTCTAAAATACATTTATTAGTTTTATTATATGTATATATAACTAGAATATATAAATATCTGGAAGAAAAACATGATTTAGAACATGAATTAGATATTGATATGATGTGACGATCAATTAAACCAAAAATAGTTGACGGGGCAATAAATCTCAAGTCACTTAAGAATCCTACAATATTCTAAACATGGCAAACGAGAACATAATTTTACAATGTGCATTTTCATGTTTCACCAACATGAGATAGTTCTTATAGTGTTTGCATTTTGTCGTCAAATCTGTAGGCGATCAGCAAAAAAGCAGTAACATCAAGAACTGGGTGTCTTTCCTTTTCAAGTCTGCATTGCAGCCTCAGCAAACTGGCCTTGTTTCAAATTTATTTTGATCTACTCTGATTTTAGCTTTAAAGCCGAAAATTTTAGTTTGGCCCGTGTGACCGGTTTTCACATCATTGCAGCTGTTAAATCTGATTAAAATTGCAGTTTCTTGAAATTGCAAAGTGAAGAAATATCGCTCAGAGAGCAAGACAACAAATATCCATGCCAATAGTGCCTTTTAAACTCGCTTTTGTTTGGCGAATGTCAATAAGAACTCGCAATATGTAATATTTTTATTCGCATAGTGGTTTATAAACAACATTTTTCCATGTTGTTCAGTATTATTGTTTACTAATGCTATTTCAAGTGGTAGAGGCAATTCACTAAAATGAAGAGTTTTATTATATTTTCGGAATCGCATATTACATAAAGAGAGTTTATGGAAAAAAGGTGAACGGACACTTTTTTATTATTCATCAGATAAACTCGACAATGTATCGGTTATTATAAGAGTGCTTTTATAATGGCTACAAAAATGGAAAAAAACAAGCAACATCATACCACTTCCTTTATGTGAAAATTTATCTACATGAAAAAAAAAATCCAAAATGACTATTTGCAGTGGAGAAAAGCGAGATGTCCACATGTCTCGAGAGACAAACTGGAGAGGCAGGCTGTATAGAGTACGACTCTACCCAGTACAGCTTTGAGTCTCCTTTTTACGATTGAGTTTAATGGAATTAATTTTCGCCTTTTTAAATTATGCAAATAGAAACAACTACGAAATAGGAAGTAAGTGGCTAATGAAATAAGGAAGTCACAAAACTGGTGAGGATTGCACTAAACGTTTAAAGTGTTTCCCGACGTAAATTAGGAAAACCGATCAAATATTATTAGACATTTTTACGACTTGGCTTATAACGAGGCAAATAATTACTAGGCAAGATTTATAACTTTAATGCCGATGCAGCAAAGAAAAGTTGCAATGCAGCTACACCTCAGTTACGCGATGCTTCGTACATTTTTAGAGTGAAAACAATGACTGAAAATGGAACTACTGACATCTCAGTTGGCGTCAAAGCTGTTAATTTTGGTTTGCAGTCATAGTCGAAAGATATTTTTCAAATATTGACAGTTTTGGGCAGTGCACCAAAAACAAATTCCAGAAAAAAATATGCATACTCGCAGGACAAGCTAGTTTGATGATAAAGCAAGTCTTCAAGTAGACGAAAAATACTAATACAGTGGTACCTCGATATACGAGTGTTTTGAGATACGAGTCGCTTTGAGACATTTTGCGAGAAAAGAGGAAGATTTGAGATATGAGGAATCGCACACTACACGGATTGGAACCGGAAGTGTCACTGGTAGAGGAGATTGTTTTTCTGGGAAAATCCATGGGTCTGGAGGTCGATGACAGAATGTGAACGAACTCGCCCAAGAATAGAAAGAGCTCAGTTTTAAAGAGGAACGAGAGATGGAGGAGGTTATATCTACAAGATATATAAAGGAGACCCTGGGAAGGTGGGAGATAGTTATAGAGTTCGTGGATAAAAAATCACCCCGAAAAAGTTGCAACTGGTCATGCATCGGAGTTGTCCAACGAAACTTGCCTAACTCATTTCCGCAAAGTCCTGAAGGAGAGGAAGAAATAAACTTTCTTAGAAACGATCTGCAGCTAAAAATGAGCAAATAGTGGCGAAAAAAGCGAAGATCAGTTTTTACAAACCCTAACTTCATAACCAACACTAAAGAAAAGAGTAAAATATATTTTTTAAACACATAAATATGGAGCTTTTCGCGTTTCGTCTGTATAAAACTTGTTAAGTTTTCCAATTAATAAAGAATTCTTGTTGAACCTCAATGTTTATCAAAAGAAACATTGATCAAATATGTTTCAAAACAGTAATGACTAGAATACGTTAGAACAAAGCCATTATTTAATTAACAAATAATAATGCATTATTAAATAATAATAAATTTAATCAAATTATGTCATGCTTTAAAGTAAAAAACAATAACTTTCTCAAACCATTACTTACTACATTACTTAATATTGGCTACATTTGTCCAATTTTCCGTGAGCTATTCATATGATAGTTTGCCGGAACTGCAAAGATATAAATCAAAGTAACTTTTCAATGTTGCGCGTGATCAAATTTTTTTTGGAATTTAAAAGATCAGATCTTGCTGGAAAAGTTAGCACTGTTATTCTTTTTTCTTACTGCTCATGTTTCAAATATCCCCCAATCGATAATTTCATAGAATATTGGTTTTCAGAAAAATGAGCAAGGCATGTTAATGCAGGACATAAATATCAGTACCATGGTTCTGCTTTGCTTTGAAGCTGTTGGACAACAAGGTTAGAAAAAATTGCTAAATTCTTACAATCCTTTTTTATTCCGACTTATTACACAGTGTACACGTCCACCTTGACATCTCGGAAATTATTAAAATCATGTATATTTTGAATATAAGAACGTTCTCGGGGTTGTTGGATGGTTGTTTTATATATACGACGTAGAAATTTCAAGTTTTGAGTTTTCTTGTTTTGGGGCTATCAATTAAGTTTTAGTTAAGTTTTCTATTTTCTGATTTCTACTATAAGGAGTATGCGGTTTTCCAAAAAAAGTGGAATCAAATTAGAATCGAGTTCACTGGGCTGAATTTGAAGTTCAGTTAGTTTAATTTACCTCGTTTGCTGAATAAACATACCTTTAAAATGAATACTCTAGGATCTGCTACAGAAACAGACTTGCACTTTCTTACTGGGATTTGGGGGATAATTTTAAATTCGTTTTTTATATTGGCTCAATTGGTTTGTTCTCACTTGTATTAGCTGTTGTTTTTTGCCTATGTTCTCATGTGTCTGATGTTTTATAGCACTTAGCACCACTTTGTAATGAGCGTAGTAAATATGTTCTTCTGGCCATTCATATTAAAGTCGCTCTGTTCTGGTTTAATTAATTGCCCTCCATTTTATCTTAGGTACTTCGATACTGTCTTTCAGACTATCCGGAAGATGTTTACTCCTACTTCTATTTTTCTTGTTCATGTTTTTGTTCGTGGCCTACTCTGCTGGTATTTTAGTCCTGCTCAAATCTACTGCGAATATAAATTCGTTAAATGAACTTTTAGATAGTAGATTTGATGTAGGTGGCCTGAATGATACTTGGATGAGACATTATTTTCAGGTATGCCTTTTGAGATTTTTCACTTTATTCAACTTTACTTTTTATTAATTTGTCGCACAGGCTCCAAAAACAGGTGTACTTCGAAAACTATATCTGAAGAAGATATATCCAAATAATTATTACGAAAAAATTGACGGATGGGAAAAAATACAAGAAGGAAATTTTGCCTTTTTTGCACCTGTGGTTATTTCCTATCGATATTTCATACAAAATTTCACCAACTATGACATCTGTGCATTGCAAGAATTGGACGGATTCCTGTCAGTGAGTATCTGTTTCGATTAATGATATATTAAGGAAATAAATATTGTATAAGAGTGGCGCTTCAGCTTAATTTGGATGATGATGTGTTTAATTTAGATGAAGTCGTATGCATCAGCGTCAAGAACTTCTGGTTATGAAGAGATTTTTAAAGTAGGGTAAGTCCAATCTTAAATCCAAATAAGGCATCAGCAGATATCAAGCATGTTCAAGAACAGTAAAACATGCACTGTACTAACTATTTGTAGGTCATGGGGATTAATTGCAAGCAAAATAACTGCTTTTTCGATTTATTATTAATGAACTTTAGAAGCCGGTTGCTTTTTATTAATACAAACATTTTATTTATAATGTACTTTCACAGTACCAGTTGGATTTCTGTTGTATTTACAGAGATTTAGAAAATGTTATGCCCTGTTCAGATCTCAAGCGACGAAATCGCTCACGACGGCGACGCGCTCGTGTCGTACCAAAATTTAAAATGTGGACGTAGCATTCGCGTAGTAGGCGCGAGAAAACTTCCTTAATCGAAAAAATATTAAAAAAATATATTTATGGAAGCATTGAGTGATCTCTGGTAACTAAGTCTTGTTGCACAGAACAGTAATTATTATGGTCTGAAATTTTTTAATATTATTATCAACGCAACTAAACATGTAGTCCTCTGACCAAAGGATAGTTCTTTTCTAGAAACGAAGTAATTCATATATTTACAGTTTACATAATTAGTTCGCGAGTATAGCACTTATGAAAATTAACTTTTCTTGATTATTCTAGCTTTCTCCAAGTAAAACTAATATTAAATGTTTTTTATTAGCTTTCTACAGGTGAAACCAAGTAATATCAAATGTACAAATACAGTCTTTAAAGTAGATTTTTGTAAGAATACAGCTTGAATTGATTAATTGGATTTTGAATTTATTTGTGTTCATTGTGTTCAAAGTTTACTTCCGTTAGCCGAATCTTCTCAAACTGAAGTGGTAAATATTTAGTTTAGTAAAATTGCAAATCGATTTGTGGTTGTTTAAATATTTTAAATTGGTTCTTCGGATTTTGGTAAGTTTTCAAATAATTACTATTTATTTGCTTAACGCGATTGTTTGATTGGGGATTATAATTATTCATTTTTGATCGTCAAACTTTCTCTTTTCTTCTGATACCTCGAAGTTCTGCTTCATGATGTTGATTTCGAATGAAAAACTAATATTTTGTCTAGACATCAAAGCTGCTTGATTGCAGTTGAATTGTGATTGATTTTGGTTGGTATTTGAATAATTCTGAATTTGTTTAAACAACGGTGTGTATTGATTATTGGCTGGTTGTCTGAAGGTATTTATTATTTACCTCTTGTGAATATGGGTGTAAAAATTTTAATGGAAATGTATTTGGAAATGGTGAAAATGCGTTCCATGGGGAATTATTTGCAATGCTTGCCAACTGATATGTATATAATTTGATCATTAAAAGTTGATGTTGCTCCTGCAAAATTTGGGTTGCAAAATAGAGATATTTAAGGATTGAAACACTGGTCCCATTGAAGTGTAAGAAAGTGGCGTAAAATCCTTTGTTGTTGTTACTTCATTGTAACTTAATTTTTACAAAAATTTATTAATTTTCCTTCTTCAGCTACGACTGCTACTACTTTGTCTAAATTATTCGTTTTGCCAGTTTTCTGCAAAGTTGTTCGGGATACATGTGGTATTGTAAATCTGATAATAACGATTTCCGTTTCTTTCTTCTTTCTTCTTGCCAATTATCATGAGCTTGACTTTGGTGCCACTGATATTTAGATTATATGGCTAGCTATGTGGACTTATTTTGTTCGAAAGGATTGTAGGTCTTTCAAGGATTCAAGGCTTAAGATGATGTTCAAATGTCCTTTCCTCAATGTTCATCCGGCCCATGTCCTCAGTTCATTCGCTATGGGTGCAATTAAATATTATAGGAGATATGCTGTACGGCTGTACCGAACGACGGCCTAAAAACCCGAAAAACCCATTAGTTTTAAGGAATGGCCTCGAAAGTCTATTTCTTTTACTCTTCGTTCTTCGGTATGGTAGAAAACGACGGTCAGATTTTTATACGATGCAATTTCATGAACTAAAAAAATTATATTTTTTGATACATTTTTTGAAGACGGAAATGAGATGCAATCTAAAATTTAGCTAAATCCAGAAAACCTTAATAAGGAATTCGACTAGACGTCCCTCGCAGCGTTAGWAATAGAAAATTTTGAACAACTTTTGAGTATGTATGAACATAAAAGAATGCTTTCTAACATGTAGTAAAATAAYACRKTCATTAAATGTTCATAAAATAAACATTTAATGAATATTTTTGAAATKAAATTATTTTTAATAAATTAACTTGATTCATAAYARTATAWWKTGAAATGTTTATTTGCACGTCTTMRTCTGGCATGTGAAAAACAAATAGCAGCCATTTTACCGATTATTTAATTCTTTCTCCTACCATGTACTCGTATTAAAACATAATCTATCTTATGTAGAAAAATTTGGGGTAATGTCACCATTGCAAATGTGTGGAAACAGCGATGGA